GCGGAGGGCGGCCTGTACTCCCACATGGCGGTGGTGACAGCTGTGAGCACGCCAAGCAGAGCAGAGCCTGTGAGCTGAAATAGCGCCTGCAGGCCATCAGCGCCCAGGAGTGGCTGTGCAAGATCCGCCTCCTGGCCCAGAAGGTGCAGAATCGCAGGGACAACCACCATGGCGGGCCAGACTGACGTCCTTCTGGCCACGCCACGGGGGTTTGTGGATCTGCAAAGCCAGAGGCCACTTGTGTGCACATCCCCCCCTGGTGTGGGAACATCCCCCAACACACTGTCACCCTCCCACACCTACAACAGTTGCAAACCAAGGCGTGCACCAGTTCCCCCCACCTCTCCACCGCACTTCCATCAACCCAGCATGCCTAACACCCCCACAGGATGTGCACACATCCCCTCTGATGCACTCACGTCCTTTGGAGAGTGTCTGGGTGTTCTGGGTGCTGAGGGTGGGTGCCTGTGAGATGACAGTAAGAGGGCGGAGTGGTGATTCCCTTTTCCCACAGAGGCCAGTGCAGCTACGAGATCACCTCTGGGGGGGTTAATGCAGGTGCTGAGGCAGGAGCAGGTGCAGATAGACACACCTGGTGGGCAAGGGTGGCCCTCACTGAGGTGCCTTCGGTCAGCGTTCAAGATCAAGAACCCAGAGGCGGAGAGGAATTCCGTCCTCTCAGTGAAACAGTGGGATAGTCGGGGCGACTGTAGAGGAGGAATGTGCACTTTGGGTGTCAGCGCCCATGAGCAAAGGCTGCCTTGACTGAGCCTCGCTTGCTTGGGGCCTAGCGCACTCCCGCCGGGCAGCGGGTGACAGGACGTGCTTTTCTGAATTAATGAGAGAAAACGTTGATTCTCCTGCTGCCCAGGAAGGTGGAAAGTGAAGTGGGGAGACATGTGGGGAATGAGCGAGGTTCCCTGTCTGGGGGTTCCAAATCTGCTGTTGGTTTCTTTCACCGCTGACTAGAGATATACAGGGTGTCCCCCCAAAATGTATACACACTTTGAATACCTACTAATTCCAATGGTTTTAAGCATAAGAAAGAAACAACAATGGAGCTGTTATCTATTAAAAGTGTGGGCACAAACAGGTAGTTGGACATTCCCTGAGGGGTCTCAGACTGGAGAGGGTGAAGGCCAGACTGAGGGGCCCCTTTCCGCTCCCTACCCCAGTGCACAAATTTCATGCACTGGGCTACCAATAATCTAATAAAAGAGAAACATGCAAATTGACCGTACCTCCGCTATACCCACAAGCCACGCCCACCAACCAATCAGGAGCAAATACGCAAATTAACCCAATTAAGATGGCAGCGGCCACAGAGCTGGAGTTGCTCCCAGCAATGGAGGAAGCCAAGTTTCCCGCCTGCCCTGCCAGGTCCTGAGCTCCACTCAAGGCTACAAAGTTTCAATTATAGAAGATAAATAAATCCCAGATACCTGCTTCCAGCCCGCGGCCATGGTCAGCCTGAAAACAGCCCTCAACGCCTCACCCAGGCTGGCCAGGCACCCTGGCAGGACCCCCACCCTGATCCAGGACACCCTTCAGGGCAAATCAGCTGGCCCCCACCCGTGCACCAGGCTTCTATCCTATATAATAAAAGGGTAATGTGCAAATTGACCCTAACAGCAAAACGACTGGGAATGACTGGTCAATAAAACACACACTGACCCCCAGGGGGCAGATGCTCAATGCAGAAGCTGCCCCCTGGTGGTCAGTGCACTCCCACAGGGGGAGCTCTGCTCAGCCACAAGCCAGGCTGA